CAGGAGCTTTGCCTTCCTGGAGCTTTGTATTACTGATATGATGTATTAACACACCCACGGCCCCAAAGGTGAATTGAATCACCAGGAATATCACGATGACAATGCAAAATACCTCTGCTCAATGGGAGTGTGTGTGCAATGGCAGCTGGGTAAGGTTGTTATGGATCACTTGTGCTTACAGACACAAGAACCAAGGCTATTCTGCCCCGCCTGGTGCAAGCTGACTGGGAGGAGATCTGGGAGATGTTAGCAAGTTAAGTACTGTCTCTCTGTGGATTTGTGTGCAGCTTGGTTCCCAGCACGGGCCTAGACAGCAAGACTGAAAGGTAGGAGCAATACAAGGAATTCCTCCCTTGATGCACCTCAGGAGGTAAAGGATGAGGCAGGCTGTTAACAGTGTGGTTTACTGAGATCAGCTCAGCCCAGCTGTACCTGTTGGGCCTGTATTGCACTGTGTTTTATCCTGAATGTTAGGTTGGAAATCCAATGACATTTAAGTTTTATGGTTCTTCTGCAAAGGAGCAGAATACAGACAAATTTAATTTTGACTCCTTACATCTGGTTGGCCCAAGACTGTAAGTGCCTAGGAGCCTACTGGTGGATCTGAAGATTGTTTTGCATCTAAAATCAACTCCTTTTCTTGCATTGGATCTACAACTCTCAAAAACTTCATCAGGATTTTAGTCTTTATTCTGTGCAGAATTTTTAAAAACATTGCAAGAGTCAGACATTTTACATGCTCTCAAATGCCTAAACATTGAGGGTTGTACTTAAACGTTTTACCTCTGCACCTCCTACACTTCTGCCTCAGAGCAGATCAATGAAGCTATCATACCCACCTTCAAGACAGAAATTGCTAATCATTTTTTCTCATTACACTTTGGATAAGCTCTAGTTTCAGTTAGATTCAGTTACTTAGAAATTCTGTGCCGTACTAAAGGCAGTTATTCCTCTAACTTTTATTGTCCTGTCTGTCTCTGAATTGCATTTGAAAATGTTCATTAAAATGAAATGTCTCACAGCCAACATTATACCTGGTATTGTCATGTTCTTGTATTTGATGTATTTGTAACTTGCCAGCATTTAAAATGCTGCTTTGAAGTTTTCAGATTAAGTAGCTGTTAATGTCCAGTATCACAGCAACTTTATGGGGCTAGATTGGAGGCCTTGACACAGAATGGCAAGTATTTATTGTACCTTCTGAATTTATGGCTTGGATGTAAACCAGCAATCTTTAAGTGATACAAGAAAACTTTGTGGGAAGATTTTAATGACCAAAAGAGGAGTCATATTGGATGATAAGAGAAAAGGAGGCAAGTTATTTGTATGCTCACTGGAAAAGAGAAGTTGTCAAGGTCTAAGACCTCTGCCATAATTACTGAATCAGCTTCTGCTATCTAAAACATTTAAGCAGATAAGGATTGAACATTTTTGATGAAAAAAAAAAAATGTTCAGGTCTTTGAGGTCTGATCATTTACTAAACTAAGTTAGCACGGAACCTGTCTGCAGCAGGTTCACTCTGCTATGCATTAATCATTTTAATCTTGTTCTCACCCTCCAACATAGGCCAGACAGCATCAGAATCCAAGAACTAGTTGCAGTTTCTCCAATGGGGGAGAGATGACTGGCTTTCTGTAACTTCCCCATATTCAACTGCTTAGTCTCAATGTGCTGAAAGAGTGTCACAGTACACCACTACAAACTCACTGAGGATTATTATGAGATGGTAATAAAAGGTGAGATTATAGATGCTTGTAAGGGGAATAAAGGGTGCTGCTTCAAATCTAAGTCAAAAAGCATCCTTTGGTGATGTTTCTCTTGGGAATTTTAGTTTCAAAAGAAACTGAAATTGTTGAAGGAGAGAGAGAGATAGAGATGGATCAATTTAAGCTTGGCTTATGAGCACGCGTACTCGAACTAAGATCAAACCACCACTCAGTCTCATCAGTATGCACTGAAAGACCTGAGTGGTGGCCCTGGAAAATGTATATCAGTGATCCCCTCTCACTGATGCATGCTTAATTGTTCTGTGTCATTTTTTCTATCTATCTCTTTTGATGAAGAAGTGAAGGACTTCCTAGCACAGTGACTTCACTTACCAACTGAGCATTAACATGTAGTCATGTTTAAGTGCACTAGATAAATCACCAGCCATGAATGTCTCCAAATGTTTAAGGCTTGATGTCCAACATTAGAACATCACAGGGAGTCTTGCTACTGGACTTACTGTGCTAGGATTGCACCAGGCGTATCCCAACTCCATCCTTCTGCTATCTCAGAAACATGTTTTGGGAAACTAGAAATAAAACAGGCCACACTTACTTATATTTTGTACAAGAATTCCTTTATTATAAATAAAGCTGCAAGAGAAGATCTACACAATTCAACAGTGTCCTGCTATAAAAGCAGCAGTTTGAATACAGCATCACGAATCAAGGAAGAATTCAGGTAGAAAGTTATGATATTATTACCCATCTCATCTCCACTGCCAAGATGGCTATTCATACTACAATTGTACTTCTGAACTACACCCCAGAAGAAAAATACTACAAAAAAGACAGGTAATAAATAGAGCCGTTTATCACATAGGATCCTATGAGAAGAACTCAATGACCAGCAGCTAAGCTGTTAAAAGTGAGTAAATTCTCATTTTGTCACCACTGAGGAAACATTGCAAAGGCTTTGCATTGAAAATATATGATGAACAAACACCAAATCCTTTTACTTGAATGACGAATAATGCTGAAATCCATCTTTATAGCCCTGTAAGACCTGTATATGGAGCAAACCAGAGAGGGAGGAAGTCATGTTCTGTGGTTGGCACGTAATAAAGAGTGAACTAACAGCTCCCCTTAGAGGACATTGGCCTCCTGACAGCAACAACAAAGACCAAGACATTTCCTAAAGGTGAGCGGCTCCTGAGGCTATGTTGTACATCAGTGGTTGTTATCAAGGCACTACTACTTCCATTGCTTTTACAGAACCTATAATAAAGTATTAAAACCACAAGTTGAGGGTGGAGGGAGTGGTTGGAAACCAGAAGAGGCAATAGGAATTCAGTTGCATAATTCCACTGGTCAGCAAATAGCAAGAACAGCAATGAGACACAAGAAAGAGGTCTGTTTATTCTTCCTCAGTATCTCTCATGGAGATCAGGGTATTACTCATGATGTGCATTCATTACTTGTGCTATACACTGTTCTAAAAGAACGTTATTCACTTAAAATCACAAAACCTCACCTCCACCCTCTCCATTTAAAGCTGCTGCCTATGGATGCCCAGCATGACGTCAGACAAGGCAGCACTAAATGTGGGTGGCACTAAAAGATCTTAGGATGTTTTACTGGCTGACAGCTGATGGAGCTGAACTGTCTCATAATAAACCTCTTTAATGAAATCTGATTTTGGCCCTTTACTGGTATGCAAAAGATTTAATACAGGAGAAGCGAGGCAGTCCCAGGAAATTACGTTCTTCACAATGTGGCATTGCAAAGGTCTGCTCAAGAGAAATACTGTTTGCCCACATCACTCCAGATGGAACAAGTATCTAATTCTAGTATATATATTGATATATGGCTGGCAAAGACCTCTGCCCTGAGGCTTACTGTAGCACAGCTCATTTCCTCGTAGCCTGGATGCACAGACCAAATCTCGTAAAAGATGCTCAGGGCAAAATGAGCATATTGCATATGCATAGGCAAATTGTGCCCAGCAATTTGCTTCCAAGGGAGTCAAATCCATAAATACCTTGGCTCAGCTCCAGCCTGGGTTCAAGCAAACCTCATGGGAAGACTTCAGGGTGAGTTTGAGTTTAAAAGCAAACATGCACACACATGCAGAAAATGAAGGGCAAAAGATTCAGTGCACTTATCAGTTTAGGTTCCCTTTGAGACTAAGCAGCAGTGCTCTGAGGTGTGCAAAGGCAAGATTTGGCCTGTTTACATGCTTGTAGGGCTGGTGTTACACAGCCTTGTTCCTCCATTTTAAGAGAGAAGTTTGATTATCCTGTTAAATAGCCTTTTCTACTCAACCTTCCCTTGCTTAACCTCACATAAAAGTTATTTTCTAACCGTGTGTGTCATTTCCTCAGAGACCTGGGTCACAAATTTGTTTCTGTTCTTTGGATAGGCTAAATTTAGATGCCTGACAGGAAATGACATAGAAAAACTCATTTCTCTCTCACTTGGCTAAGGACACTTTTAGAAGCAACTCAGACCACAAATACTTGAGCACGACCTCCCTGCAGGCCTGTGGAAATGGGTGTTGCAGTTTGCTTTGCTTTGGCGCAGAAAATGTCCCTCAATGGTGGGGATACAGAATAAGCAGACACGAAAGATGTGGAGAAATGGTTTGTACAAGGAAAAAGGGAGAGAGGATACAAAAATTTATAGTTTGTTATCTGTGGATCCCAAGAGTAAACATCATGAAAGCAGCAGCCTTGAGATGGATTGAGGAGACCTGATAATGAGTCAAACAGGTAGCTTTTACTTGGGTACCTGGCAGCAGAAAGGAATGACACACCACAAGAGAGCTGCAGAGAGCAGTGCCATGCTCTGCCACTGTACACATGTACACCTCCTGCAACTCTCCTCCTAATACAGAACCATCTTGCTGTCCTGGCCTCACTAAAACCACGCTGAGAGCTACGCTCTCTCATCTGGATAGTGAGTTTCCTCCTGGTATCAGACTCCTGAGATTGGGCTGCTTACAGAATAATTTTGAAGAGTTTCCTCTTTAGTAAAAGCAAACCTTGCAGCAATCATTTCTCTTTGCTAGTTTTCAGACTTGTTGCCTGGAGATCAGGAAAGCAAACAAATAAACCAAAAGCCAGAACCCAATAACAGCACTTCTCTCTTATATGACGTAAATAAGGCTCCTGGCCATTCATCCATGGAAAACGGCCAAGAAGAAAATCCACTCATTGTGCTACTTTGAAGAAAATGGAAAACACAAATAAAATGGTCTCAAGACACTGATCCTGCGGACTGTTCTGTTATGTTCTTTCAAGGGAAAAAATACCTGTAGCTCAGGAGTGTGTTTGATGGACAGGACTGTTTAAATTAGTGCTGCAAGTCCTATCAAAATGCACTTTTTAAACCCACTGTTCCCTTTCAATTAAAGAGTTGTGCTGGATTTAAAGATCTCCATCCAGTCTAGAACTGTGCATGACCTCAGTAGTGACTCTCCTTTCCAGCTGAGGCTCATGTTGCACCTCCCATAGGTCTCAGAGCTCCTGCTGTCCTGTCTGCAAGCAGACTGCCACCGTTTTGAAGGCACCAGAATAAATTAGCCATGTTCATTGCTCATCACCACTGTAGCATGACTGAGGCACAGTAGAAAATATATTCTTAGCTGCATAAAACCCAGCCAGCCCAACTGTGGAACTGAAACTTACGTTTATACCATCTCTTCCCATTTCTCTCTATTCTCCCCCCATCCCTTCTTCCTTACTGCAGAAACCATGACACAGACATGGTTTAGCTGCAGACAACAAGCTGCGCTGGCAAAGTCAGTTGTCTCCATAAGGCTTCGGAAAGCTGCACTCTGGATTTGTGCTTAGAGGAACAAGTGTTTTTCTGCTGGCTTTGGTTAAACAGATTCCTTTTGGATCCCATTGGTGTGTACATGGGGAATGTGCACCATGTACTCGCTTATCAGTGCAGATGTGTTCCTGAGCATCTCGTGGAATGTGTCAATTGTCTTTCTGTAAACATCCCTGTGTAGAACAAAGGGACGGAAAAGGTTGAGAGGCTCAGCCCTCTGGAATATGATGGGGAAGCCCAGCTCTGCTGGTACCTTCCCATTGCCAATGAAGAAGTGGTAGAGCTTCTTCTCATGTAGACATTTCTCCAGGAATTTCAACATGTCCTGTAGACGGGCCTCCAGCTTCTCTGGGGCCCAGTCCTGACTTGGACGTGTCTGTAGCAGATGCAGCAACACTGTCTTCAGGTGGTAGTTGGTGAGCCCACTTGGACCTGTGAGGCTGCACTGCTTCCCATGGAGGAAGGAGAGGATCTGAAGGCAGCTGACATGGCAGGCATTGGCAGGCAGCATTTTGGAGATCATCTGGATGAACCTCCTCTCATACACTGCAAAGGTGAGAAACCAGTGAGTGCTGGAAGGGAGGTCTGCTGCCAGGCAGTTCCGAGGGAAATGAGAGATGAAGTAAACATCAGAGTTCTCGTACTGCACCACAGGGGTGAGGTTGAAGGCAACTGATTTCCCCGATTTAAATTTTATCTTCAGGGCTCCTGGGGAGTCCAAGAGGCTAAAAGACAGGTCAAATTCATACTTGTGGGAAATTTTGTTCCAGGCCTTGGTGACTGCAATCTGGAACCACTTCATGACTTGGTCAGCATCGAGATACTGCGTATTTTTGAAGCACAAGAGGTCTTCCATTTCACTGCTGCGTCTGGTAGCATTGCCTTGGCTATGGAGGAGGCACAGCATATCTTCTCCTAGTTTAGTCTTGTCACAGATGCAACCTGTCTCATCCTCATCTGCCCTGCATACCTTGATAGTGCCATATCCTTGTTCATCTGGGGGAAAAGAATCGCCAGAGCACCATATCTGAGATCGGAAACAATATGGCTCTGGGGGTGCAAAAGGCACAATCAGATCGCAGACAAAAGGTTTACGCACTCTCCAGTTCTCATACATGCTTCCCACACCCATGCAGTCCTCCACTTCCATGTCAGCATCCCGGTTACAAACACTCCTCAAGGCCTCCAGCAGGTCATCTGCAAAGCCTTCCACCATCTCCCGCATCCTGGCCATGTCTCCAGTGGTACCCAGGATACGCTTCTCATAGAAGCTGGCTAAGATGGCCTTGTCAGGGAAGGCCACCCCTTTAAATGCTTTCCCCAGGACAGCCATATCATCCTCGTCTGCTCCCGTGTCCTGCCAATTCCCCTCCTGGAAATCCTGCCTCCAGAGCTCGATCAATAGGAAGATGACCATGGAAAGAGCAGTCCACATATCCCATTGGACCTTTTCCTCTTTGACATCCTCCACTACTTTTGCTGCTTTTTCCAGAACCTTCTGTGCAGCTTCCTGACCTTCAATTTCCTGTTCCAAGCGCAACTTCTCTAGCCGAAGGATCTCCTCCCGCTCCTTCATCTTCTGGATGATTTCTTCTGTATTCTCGAGGACAGTGCCATTCTCTTTAGGGAAGAGGAGTGGGTGGTTGACAATAGCTGTAATCACCACTAGGCACACTCGGAAGATTCCCACGGGCATGGCAGTTCCTTCACTGAAAGAGAAAAAAGGCAGAATGACCCATGATTCAGGGTATATTCTCTCAGGAAGAAAAAGTTAAAAATCCCCACTTGAATAAAAGATACAGCATCCTTTTTAACCCTATACAAAGTGTTTGGGTTCCTAAGCCCATTCCTGTTTCTACAGGTTAGAAACTAAGCTTCTCAAAGACACTTTATCAAACTTTATTTGCGGATGGTAAGGATAAAAGGATCCTTCTCATTATACCTGCATTGACAGACAGAACGATGAAGCCATTTGCTACTGTCAACCCACTGCAAATCTGCTGGGGTACTGTGGCAGGACCTCCCCAGATATTAAAAAAAAAAAAAAAAAAGACAGGGTTGGAGATGATTATTACTTGCCCTCACCATAAAGCTAGAGTTCAAGTAAGGCAGATATGGCAATGGCATAGGCAGGCTACTCTGGTTACCTTCCATATGAATCACATCTGGGGACCCGCACAGCCAGCTGAGTCAGAGCAATCTTCACTACCAATGCTGGTTGTGTGCACCTGGGTGGGAACAAGCCAGCATGGTTTTGTTTCTCCAAGCAGGTTCTACAGAGTTAGGATCAGCCTGCGCCAAATCCTCCCAGCGCAGCCTCCAAACGCCTCATGACTGTGGTATGTAGAAAAACATTTTCAAACTGGAAAGGATTTCCTTTAACCTAGTGGTTTTAAGAGCATCAGGTTGTTTACTTTTGGTGTTTACTATTAATCACTATTAATCCTGCTGTCCCGGACCCTAGGCAAGGAGGAGAACATCTCTGACAGTCTCAATTCATGTCTTCACCGAGCATGCAACAAACTCAGATCTATTCTAGTGGGCTTTGTTATTGTTAGTGCATAACAAACTTCAGGGCTGAGTGGCAGAAACCTAAGCGCTCTTACTGTGAGTGCTCAATATGCACAGGAACTGTATCCTCTGGCATGTGACACAGATATCTTTGCTTATAAGTAGACTGGGACTCAAATAACAAGGCAAAGGAACAGGGTTGAGTAGCATTGTCCAAGCAGAAAGAAAATTCACACGGTGCTCAGGATAATGTGAAGTGCCCCTCCCATTGTAACATTTACTAACAATCCTTTTTTTAGATCATCTGTACGTACACAGATGCACACCCTTACACAGACTTTGCATTGAAGATAGTTTGCTGGCCTTTCTTGTCCCTTTTACATTTATATTAACTTTTCAAATCATTAGGCAATGAATTAAAGTTGAATTAATGCCCAAAGCTGGATGTTCCAGTTGTTCTGTGAGCTCCATGTCTGGCCACATTTTAAAATAATTTTTAAAAAACATTTTAAAAATAAACTGGGCTCACCCTGCGCTGCAAAGGGCTTTATCAGTTTGCTGGGGCAGGGCAGGAAGCCCTGGTGAGATCCTTTCCTCAGTGCTAAGCTCTTGCAAGCTATGTGAGTTTTCCAAGCCTAAAAATAACACAGCCAGAAGCAAGGGGCCATTACAGCAGTCTTGACCAGTACAGCATTGCTCCTTTGCCTTGCCCCAATCCTGTTTAGATGTTTTATGTTACTATAATACTTCTTGAGTGTGTATGGCTGAAAGAAGCTGGCTTCCTTTTCATGTTCTTATACCCTTCAAAACTCTCCCATGCCCAGCTGGACATGGCCACGCTGCTTCCAGAGACTACCTGCTCCAAAGCAGATGGAACCAGGTCAGCAATTCTCCAGCCCAGTGCTGGACAGCTCAATTGAATTCATTTTGTATTGCACTGAAAAGTCTAGGATATCCCTGCTGATTTTGCAGGACTAGAATAGGAAGCGTGTACACTACATCATTTCCCAGTAAGCTGCACAGGCATCAACATCTGGAGGCAAATCAGGATGAAAACTGGAAATGACAACATCTTCAGGATAGCATGAATTTGCAAGAGACATCTGTTTTCAGCCTTAAAACTGAGGAAGTTCTGATCAAAACTGCTGTAGCAGTTCACACTGGAAAATGAAGGCTAACATGAAGTCCAGTTCGGGCCGAAGGTTAATGATGCTCAGTGGCCAAGGTCAGTGGAACCTGCCCTTGTCAGCTCCAAGGATGGCACAGGCAGAGCATTCCCACATCTCATCAGAGACAGCTTTCCTGGCTAACATGGGAAGACTAATTCATACAGGTGAAACCAGTAGCACTGCCTGCTAGGGCAGTCCAGTCTTCCCCATATAACAACAGCTGTTCTCTTCACTTGCTTTCAACTTCAGTCCAAGTAATTTAAGCTTGATAAAAATATTTATGCCTGCTCTGGATGAGACAGTTTTGTGCGGGGAAGAGAGAGGAGTCCAAATGTTTCCAAGCTGGAGACTAACAAAAAGAAACACCATTGTTTCATCTACACATCAAATTTAGCAAGATTTCATGCAAGAAAAACAGAATAAAAGTATTCATGAGGTTTTAAGAAGGCAAATTCCCAAAGCAGTCTTCAGTCTTTTCCAATTGTCTGGGCACACCATTCTTTTTCCATTCAAACCACAGTCATTGTCCATACTCTGCAACAGGCTAACATCTCACAACCTTCTGCACTCTCTCTTCTCATAGTCCCAGGGCTCCAAAGGTCCCTCCAAACCCACCACCAACCTCAGAGTGAATGGTTTCCTCCTGGGCATTTTTGTGGCACTCAATGCTTCAGTGACTGGCACTTGGTGGATGCTGAGGTTAATGATATCTCCAAACAGGCCTGAGAAGTGAGGGGGCAGGTTCCATCACTGCTCCAGATGGGAATGAGGACTCGGGAAGATAAAAGCAGCTGATAGTTCTGTTGCCATTAAAAACAACCATCAACAACATCCAACAGCAGGTTGTATGTTTGAAGTCTTCCCCAGGAGCACCTGTGGCTCTCCTTGCTCAGCTCCTGGGCAAATCACACCTCATCCTTCCAAGCCTGAAGGAGCCTCTTTGCTACAGCATCACAACCAGACCCACAACAGGTCCTGAATGATGCAAGAAGGTCTGAGAGGGAAGGGAAAAGGCAACACTGCCATCTTCTCTGAAGACATGGAAAATATTTCTCTTTTGTTAATGGGTACTTTCTTTCCTCAGAAGCTTCTTATACTGCTATATTTTCCCTCAGAGTTATTTTCCCCTTAAATTTTGAATTTATCTCTGGCAGATAGGAGCAAGCTGAAGCTTTGATTCTTGAATTAGAAAAACCCAAGTCAAGCTACTGAATGTGGTTCAGTAATGCACTGAAGTACTCTGAGACGTCATTTATGACATACTTGATTACTTCCTGCAATTCGGCTGACACAAAAGGCAGTGAATAGGTGGCTCCAGATTGTGTTTTACTTTGGTAGGCAGCAAGAAAAGCAGCTACTTGAAAAAGTGATAGCAACTACACCTGGATAGGAGCTTTTTTCTTTGAAAGGTGACAAGTTTTTGAAACAAGCCCCACAGTTCCCTCCCCGCTGCAACAGAAAACAAGTTACCTTTTGGCCTGAAAATGCTTGTGCTGTATTTATGAAGACCTAGTTAAGATAAAAATGAACATTTTTAGTATAAAAAATATTCCAGAATTAAGTTTGCTGAAAGCCCTTTTTGATGCACTATGCTATTCTCCAGTTTGCAAACATTGCTACCTCTGCAGGTATATACTTGAGAGAAATTAAGTTTCCTCTTACTTCAAGAACTTGTTACTTGAAGACTTCAAACTGTGAACTGTAAGAAGCATATAAATTGACAGAGAAATGGAAACTGTAGAGATTCACAGCAGTATTATTTTTCCTGACAAAAACTTGGAAAGATGCACTTTAATTAGTCAACTTCACACCACTGACACTGCTGTTTTTCTACAATCTCCCTATCAATATTTACAGAGCAACCAAAAGACCTTTGCTGACTCAGGACAGATAGTGAGGGCAGTTTTCCTTCCAGCTCACAGATCCAGCTTCAGGGATAGATGTGCTGAATCGATATTCATGGAAAAAGGCAAATGTACTTCTAGAGAGGGCAATACAATGATAAAGGTATTAGAGTGGTCTTTGCCATTAGCTGCTGAGAACATGTTGCTCAAATTTTGCTTGTTTTGTGCTAAGAAGAACAACAAGAAAATAATTTAGGGTGTGATTCTATTTGTACACATTTAATAACAGAGCACACATCAGTACCCTTATAGTCTGATGACAAATTTCCCCTAAAACCCTTCCCCCAAATTCAGGAGCGGTAGGAGTAATTTAAGTTTTAGTTTCTTTCCCAGCCCTTGAGGGGTCAACATGGTGCTCTTCAGCTTTGACCTGAGCTTTCTCAGGAACTGAGGAATTGATATTGACAGGACTTCAGTCAAATGTGCCTAGTTCTTGAGACCATTTTTACTGAAGAAGCATTTTCTGGGGTGTGCAGAAGACAAGTGCCATTATGGTGAAGAATTTCAGACCAGAATCAAGTGAGGCCTCCTATGCCAGCACTGCATTTGTTGGGGCCTGCAGGTTACCTGATGGGATGGACACTGCAGGCAGAGTTGCTCATGGGAGGCATCACGCCCAAGCATTTTATCTTGAAACAAGAGTTTCCAGGTCCACTGGAATCAGCCAAGTGTGGTTGGCAAGGCAGCGGACCCTCAGGGAGGTTGGAGCAGCCCTGCAGCTGAGGCAAACACACAGAAGCTGACACATTGACACAAAGCCTTCAGCTGACCAAGGACAAATTGCACCAGTCTACATTTCCTACCTGGCTGCATAGGTATTAACACATGTAATCATATCTAGTTTTCAAGTGGGGATAGCTCCTGGCATAGACAGCAAGAGCCTAGGGGCTCAGACAGGAATCCTCAAGATGGCTACCACCTGCCCAGACCCCACTGCTGCAGTGAGAAAATGTCCCCAGACGTGTATACAGCAATGGAGATACTCCACTTTCTGCTCCATCATGAGCTTCTACACATTGCTTTGACAGCAGCCAGCACAGCTCAATTCTAGATGGAGCACTGGCAAAGGCTCCTGCCTTCCCTTCTCTTGCATGCAGTCACCTGCAGCACATGCAGCCCAGCCAG